TCATGAACAGTGTGGAAGCAACCCTAGACCGGCTGGCCGCATCAAACATGTTTTTCATTGCAAAGCGTAAGCATGCAGACCAGGAGGTGTTGTATCTCTCTGCTAAAATCCCTCGTGGATTCCCCTTCTTGATTGAACTCACTGCAGTTATTGGAGTCCCTGGACTCAAGTGTGCAATCAAAACTCCAAGCCCCGAAATGGCTCCTCTTTTCTTTGAATCCATCGAGACTCTCCTCAAGAGTTGATTTCCCTGTCTTTTCCCCCTCTTCCCCCCAATCATTTCTCTATTTATTTTTGTGTAATTATTTTAATACTGAGATCCCTGTTGCTTTTTTTCTGTCTGTAGTCCACTTTTCAGCTGTCCAGCTTTTCTTCGTATTCTAATTCTTCATCGAATTTTATTTACTGAGATTGTTTTGATGAAGTTTCTATTCTGTAGATGTTTTTTTTTTAAATGTATTTGTTGAACCAAAATTTTGTCATGCAATATATAAAAAAGGATTGATGATTATTTGTGATCAATTTTAGTCATCGGATGCCTATGAAACCAGTTCTCGTTCACTAGGGGTGATCTGTGTCGAGTTTTTAAGTCTCCCAACCAAGACCGGTGGGACTGACTGAGAAAAGGATAAAACAGGATAGAATCATAGCCTAACTGGTGAGACTGATTGAGAAAAGGATAAAACAGAATAAAATCATAACCTAACTGCAAGTGTCAGTTTGATTGTTTTTGAAATTGTAATTTGTGTAAAGTTCTCAAATGAAGGAAATCATATAAAAAATTCCAAATCATAGGGAGGAATGAGCAAATTATACAGAAAGCAATGAGTTTGTAGAAAACACCCTCTTCATTTCAACTTGAAACTTGTTACAATAGTTGATATATTTCGTTATAGAATATGAGACATCACTAATAGGAGATAAATTAAGAATATCGATTTTGATTTAACTTGTACAAAATTCTTCCATGAATACCCTCTATAATAAAGAGTCATTGTAGAACGGATTCAGTGTTAAATCAGAGAGGGGTCATGTAACCCTATCAACCTTCTATTTTTATAATCATTGACGTTAATTCATGTTTTGATGTTGTTGTGGGCACATTTTAGGAGTACTAATATATATGTATAAAAGATAAATTATAATTTTAACTTTTAACTTTTTTTCAAATTTAATTTTGGTCATATATATTTCACTTTTTAATTAAATTTTTTAGACAACAGGATGATATAGGAATACCACATTAAAATGGAGATTGGAATGTCAGGATTCAATAATTATAATTAAAAAATAGTGAACCAAATTAAAATTTAGATAAAATTAGAAAATATAGTTTATTAAAAATTACAAAAAAAAGAAAAAGAAAATAAAAGTGTAGTAATGCGATCATGGCACGGGATAGTTGATATCTATAGGTTCAATCCAATTAACCCGACCCGTATTTGTTCCACCTTTGTTTCGAATTTGGATTCACTCTCTCTCAATTCGAAAACTCTCTCTTTCTCTCTCTCTCTCTCTCTCTCTCTCTCTGTGTGTAAAGAATCGTCCGTGAAGGCTTTTGAATTTGCCTTATCCTAATCGTCCATCGAAAGCAAGGTATCTTCGGATCCACTCCTTATTCTAAATTTTTTCACACCATTTCTCTATGTATATATATATGTTGTGTGATTGTATAATTGAAATGATGTTCTAATGCGTATACATATATATGCGTTTTTTACTTGGAAATTAGGTTTTCAATTTGTTTGGTTCGATAACTTGACGAGATCCGATAGATTACGAGTGCTGAATCTTTACTCTTTTTTAATTATTTCATTTTTTTATTCACGAATATTGGAGGACGATAAACAGCAAGAGCTGGAGATTAGGATGGAAGTGGAGGAACTTTTTTATTTTATTTGTTTAGTATGAGAGTGGTAGAAAATGTAAGAAAATTAAATTTATTGCATAACTTAATATATCAATATGGTAATTGCTAAATAAATTTTAAAAATCAGGATTTTTTTTATTTTTTATTTTTAGTGAAAGTAGCTGTTCAAAGCTTCCGAAAGATGAAAACTTGTCGGGGTCAATTGTAAAAGTTTATATTAAAAACTTTATGAAAGAAATTTAAGAGTCCGTTTGGTTTGGTTTGGTTTGGTTTTGAAATTAATTTTGAAAGATAAGTTTTTAAAATTTAAAAATTTGTTTGGTTGTATATTTTAAAAATAGTTTTGTAATTTTGCAGTTGGAATTTTGTAATTTGGGATGATTTGTAATTTTTTATTTTATTTTTTATAGTTGAATAGTAGATGAGTGTGAGAGAAAAAGTGATTGATTAATGTGTGGAATATGAGGGAATGAGGGAGGAGAGGAAAAGTCATTGGTGAAGAGAAGTGCATTGTGATTGGTGAGGGGCATGGCCATGTGGCGCTGCCACGTGGCGCCTTTGGACCAATCAATAATTTTTCGTGTAGGAAAGAGAAGATATAAAAAGTGATTGAAAACAGTTTCGAGAAAATTGTAAGCCAAACAAATTTTGGGTTTTGAACTCTCAAAAATTGATTTGAAAACTAAACCAAACAAGTCCTAAGTTTTGCTGTTTATTATTAGCTTTAAAAGTTTATATCATCTTATTGTTTATGAAATTTTTTTTTTTTGGGATTGTGATTAATGGATGCCCCTTCTGAAGTAATTTCTTGGCTCTGCCACTGTTTACATTATATGATCTTCTTGTAGTCCTTTTCTTCCTCCGGACCTTTTGTCTATGCTAAAGGACTGCTTTTTCTTGCTATCATTCTTCTGTATTATTTTCTGCCATCATGTAGACCTTATAAGGGTTCAGATAGAAGTAGTCCATTGCCATAGATGAAAGGTTTGGAAAAAGAAAAGGATGTCATAAAGATCATATGAAAGGGGAAATGAATGGTGCAGTTATATTTAATCTCTTTTTTAGGGTGTCCTTCAAAACTCTATTCAAAATAGAGGCTTGCAAAATCGAGACAACCATGTCTAAGTTACTCTTTTCTCTAACAATTATCTTGTTTTGGGGTTAGTTTTTTATTCAGGCCTCGTTTGGGGACAGGCTAATTTAGTAACTTTTTGGCTATTTGGCTAAAAAGGTAGGTAAAAAAAACTTGTATGTTTGGGATGACTTTTTGGCTAATTACGAAAAGATGTGCAAAAAGTAGAGAGAAAAGAGAATTTTTGACTTTTTGGTATGGGTTGTTGTCTTTTTGGCTAATTTAGTAACTTTTTGGCTAATTGGCTAAAATAGCCTCTTGCCAAACGAGGCCTCAGTATATCTGAAGCAATATTGAATAATAGATATTGTGAAACGATTTTGTCTTTTTGTGCATGTGTGTTCTTTCCTCCTTCCATCTAAGTTGTAATTGTTACATCAGATCTATGGCCAATTAGATTGAATTATTCTCAATTTTTATGCAAATTGAGCTTATTAAATTTCAAAAATTTTCTTTATGAGCAATGTTGTCAGAAAATGCCCCTTTTCAAGAATATTTCCAATGCAATGGTTCTTCACTTCTTCCTATCATTTCAATCAGACTTCAATCAGCCCTCTCACACACCTTTGAAATAGATCTGAGATTAAAAAAAAGTTTCCTATCAACAATGGAAGCGATATATCTTTTGAGCAGAGTTATAGAAAAGTATAGAGAAAAGAAAAGAGACATTTATATGGTGTTTATCAACCTTGAGAAAACATATAATAGAGCGTCCCGAGATATAATATGGTGGGTGTTAGCAAAGAAAGGAGTAACAAAAGGTTATATTGATGTGATTAGAGACATGTATGAAGGGGTGGTGACTACTATTAGATCGCCTGCTGGAGAAACAAATGAATTTCCTATCACCTAGGAAGCACGGATACGGATACGGATACGGGATACGGATACGGATACGTACGGATACGTCACCCTTTTTGAAGTATCCGTGTTTCATAGCCTATCACTGTAGGGTTACACCAACGATCTACCTTAAGTCCTTATCTTTTTGCTTTAGTTATGGATGAGTTGATGAGAAATATCCAAGATGATGTGCCATGGTGCATGCTTTTTGCAGACGATATAGTGCTAGTGAATGAGACTAGAGAAGGAGTTAATACAAAGTTAGAGATTTGAAGAAAAACTCTTGAATCTAAAGGATTCTGGATACGTAGAACTAAGGCCTCGTTTGGGAACAGACTATTTTAGTAACTTTTTAGCTTTTTAGCTAAAATATGAGGTGAAAAAAACTAGTATGTTTGGGATGACTTTTTGGCTTTTTACGAAAAGATGTGCAAAAAGTAGAGAGAAAAGAGAATCTTTGACTTTAAAGCCAAAAAACCATTCTTAAATAAAAATTTCAGCAAATATACTTTTTTAAGTCATCAATGATAGCCTAGGAAGCACGGATACAAATATGGTGTATGGGGATGTGGATATGGCGATATGTCAAAATTTGAAAAAGTATGATACGGGTATAGCGGGGATACATTCATAAATTTTTTTTTTTATAATTTTAATAATGTAATATGCATGAAAATAAAACTTAAAGTAAATTAATAAATAAAGAGAGGGATTCCTATTAATCTAAAAGTGCTCAAACATTCATAAAACATCCAAAACTAAAAGCAAAAGCAAATGCAAATGTAAATTAAACATCATCCTTACATGCCAACACCAAAAAAAGAATGAGAGCAGAGAGAAGAAACGTGAGAGAGTGAGAAAGCGAGAGAGAAGTGAGAGAGGCAACAAGGATACATCAATTTGACAAATTCTATTACTTTAACTCTCACTATATTACTCTTATGAAAGAACTAAACAAAATATTATAAGTAATATGTAACTTCGAGTATCCGATACTTCAAAATTAAGTATCCGATACTTCAAAATTAATAAAAAATTAATTAAGAAGTATCCTATACTTTTAAGAAGTATCCGATACGTATCTGCGAGTATCCGAGGAGTATCGGTATCCGATAAGTATCCGATACGGATACGTCACCCTTTTTGAAGTATCCGTGTTTCATAGCCTATCACTGTAGGGTTACACCAACGATCTACCTTAAGTCCTTATCTTTTTGCTTTAGTTATGGATGAGTTGATGAGAAATATCCAAGATGATGTGCCATGGTGCATGCTTTTTGCAGACGATATAGTGCTAGTGAATGAGACTAGAGAAGGAGTTAATACAAAGTTAGAGATTTGAAGAAAAACTCTTGAATCTAAAGGATTCTGGATACGTAGAACTAAGAGTACATGGAGTGTAAATTTAGTAACAGTAACAATGAAAGTAGAGGAGAAGTGAAGATTAAGAACCAAGAACTGCTTAAGAGTGAACATTTTCGTTATTTAGGGTCGATTATCACAACAGCGGGGGAGATTGATGCGGATGTGACTCATAGGATTAAGGCGAGATAGTGTAAGTGGAGAAGTGTGTCCGGGGTACTGTGCGATAGACGAATACCCACTAGACTTAAAGGTAAGTTCTATAGAACCGCTATTAGACCAGCGATGTTGTATGGGACGGAGTGTTGGGCAACCAAGAAATAACATGTAGATAAGATGAGTGTGGCTGATATGAGAATGCTAAGGTGGATGTGTGGCAAGACTAGACAAGACAGAATTAGGAATGAGTGTATTCGGGAATGGGCGCACCGATAGAAGATAAGTTAAGAGAGAATCGATTGAGATGGTTTGGTCATATTCAACAGAGACTAACAGAGGCAGTAGTGAAGAGATGCGATGCTGTAACGGTAGATGAAAGTGTTAGGGGACGGGGTAGGCCTAGATTAACGTTGGTTAGCGTTGTAAATAGAGATATGGATCTACTTAATTTGACTAACGAAATGGCCTTTGATTAGGCCGCGTGGAGAAGAAAGATTCATGTAGCCGACCCCATTTGATGGAACTTAAGGCTTGGTTTGGTTTGGTTATTTTATTTTATTTGTTTGGTCAATGACATTTATCTGCTTACTCATTAATGTTGAGATTTTCAATTCTTTACTTTTGTGGAATTTTTGTTTAGGTAGATGTCATTCTCAAGAGAAGGAAGGTGAGTATCCTTCAAAAATGACTTATTCTTTATGTTGTGTCAGTTTTAACTTGATTTTCAGTTGTGGATCACTTCCCTTCTGTTATGCTTCTAGGTCTGCTTCACCACCTGACTCCAGGTCACCTGTTAGGGAACGTCGATCGAGGAGGAGTCGCTCCAGGTACAATGATCACAGATATGGAAGTTGCATTTTAATGGTCATTTTATAAGATGCAACTATTTCCATGCTCCAGTAAACTTGCTTTTACTATGAAAATGAGCTTTATGTACAAACCAAAGAGAGAAGGTTTGATATGTGTATATGTGTGTGTGAACACATTATAACACACGGATATGTTGTTCAAGAGCTGATTGTTTTGTTAGATATTTTCTTCCATGTGACAGTTGATTTGTATTTCTCCAGGAGCCATGATTCTGATGGTGCTTCTAATCCTGGAAACAACTTGTACGTAACTGGTTTATCTACCAGGGTTACTACCAGTGAACTTGAGAAGTATTTCAACAATGAAGGAAAGGTATTAGCCCTTGAAATTAGTTCTTAGATCCTGTATAGCACATGAAATTTTCTTTTTGAGTGACCTAATGAAAAAATGTTCAGTAAATTTGTCATGAGGTTCTAATGTCAATTGAAATAACCGCAACTGAGCTTGACTATGGTGCGGTGGATCTTTGGTTTTTCTTTTATTGTGTGATTGCACTTCTATGACATGTGTAAAGTAAATATTAAAAAAGCTTCGGTAATTGGAGGAGAAAAAACTGCTACAATAGAGTGAGTTCCACACAAATATAATCTACAATTTGGGGTTTGGTTTACTGTTTGGAATTGAATATCTGTAATGCTCTTATTCTCTGATGAATGGAACATCAATTTGCATGTTTGTTCTTAAGATTGTGATTATGAATGTCCAGATCTATTTTGAGCCCATGGAATGGTTGAATGTGAAAATTCATCTGAAGTGGTTATTACCCTGTTACGCCTTTTTATATGGATGGCAATTGAGTTGGAGCATCCTGTCATTGATTTTTTTGTTGAATCCACTACAGCTACATTGATGTTCCATTCTTAAAAAGGCCTACAGGATTGTATTAAATGATCACTTTAAGATTTGGTGTAGTGTTCTGTTTATCCATAATTCATAATCGGGAGGAAGTTAGCTTTTGTAATAGCTGTTCAAGATCAATTTCGCTGTTTGTTTTGCAGGTTACTGAGTGCCATCTGGTTACGGATCCTCGCACCAAAGAATCTCGTGGGTTTGCTTTTGTTACTATGGAAACAGTTGAGGATGCAGAACGCTGTATTAAGTATCTAAACCATTCTGTGCTTGAAGGTCGATTAATTACTGTCGAAAAGGTATTTATTTTAAACAAGTGCATGTAATGCACTGTATAATGAGCTTATTGTTTGTGGTCAGCTTTTTTATTATTCCATTTAAGTTCTGCTCATCTTCAGGAAAATGTTGCCTGATAAATTTTGGCAGCAGGTCTGGTCTGTGTAGCTCCACCGAATTCACACTCTAAGCTCTAAAGTCTAAACAGTTGAACCTATCCCTTCACGCTATGAGCTCTGCATCGACATTTCAAACTCATCAATTCCAATTCGACTATTTTGCGGAGGGTTGTATGCCCTTGATTCCTTTTCTCCGTTAGTAACAGTGTTTTGACATGGTTGTTTTTATTTCTTTTTAGTTTATATTCTGGAAAACGCTAGAGGCATAGTGAATACGTTTTAATTTCCTCAGGCCTTTTGATCATACTTTTATTAATCTGCCTGTTCCATTAAAGGGGTGTGCCTTACAAAAAGAAAAAAGAAAGAAGAAAGCGGAAAGGGATCGAAAGAAACTATTGGACATGGCTCTTCCATTAACACTATCTAACACGGTTGTTCTATTTATGTTTTTGGAAACCCTGGAGACAGCAAACAATTCTTGTTGCAACAGTTCCTTTGTGAATTTTGATTGCAACCGGCTTAAGTAACACATGTCCTCTTAACTTCTTAAAGTTCTTGGAAGTTCATTTACTTGTTCGAATCAATTATGTGTGTGAGCTTATGCTTATAAAAAATAATGTTTGTGAGCTTATGTTGTTCTTGCTATATAGCTAGCTGTCTATCTATTTTCCATGAAGTTATCTGACATTTTTTTTTTCTATATCTGCAGGCCAAGAGGAAACGTGGGAGGACACCAACTCCTGGAAGGTACCAGGGTCTCAGAGATAAACGAGGTACATACATTGTTCACACATTTATACACCCTGTGTTTAATAAAACAAATTCAGATCAGCTTAAATTGCCCACGAGGCTGAATGATTCTACATATATTAACCCCAAGGCTCAATGTTCTGTCTTTATAAGTTTTTTCTGGTGCCTACAACTTGATTCAAATCTGACTTCTGTTCTTTACATGGGTCTATCATGTCCCAAATCCTGTTTGTGTGCCATAGAATGCAAACCTAGGATGGGTTGAAGGACTAATTACCTTAACCATTTACGGTTGAATTAATGCATTGTTATAAGTAGCAATCAATGATGAACAGTTCTCAGAATTACTGTGTTGAAAGTCAATCTAGTTTAGTTGCTCTAGCAAACGATTACTTGGTTGACTTTTCGGATTGATTAGAAATCTATGAGATTACTACTTAGCATGTCGTCCAAGTTGTAAATAAATTTATATGTGCTAACTGTTTCAGTAATTTTGTGTGTTCTTGTGCAGGCCAAGACCGGAGACGTTCTCGGAGCTACTCACCTCACCGACGGAACGAGAGAGATCCTTTTCCCAGGGGACGTCGAGGAAGATCACGCTCCCCACCATATGGTAGGAGGGCTGAGGATCATCGCTCTGACTCATATAGAAGGCGCAGGGAACGCTCCTTGTCAGCTGGTGGTAGAGCATATTAATCCTATTGTGGATCTGATTGCTCCCGCCGAAACAGTCCTGTCAGCTTGTGGTAGTGAATTTTTAGCTTCAACTGGATTTTCGTTGTGGAAGTGTGTAATCGTTGTTATTTTGTCTGTCTTGATATACCTTTAAAGAACCGAGACCCTTATTCGATGCTTTGTCTTGATTTTAAGTTTCATGTTGTGTTCTAGTGTCTCTCTGTAGAAGAATCGTGTCAGATATGATATTTGTGTCTCTGAATGGTGGGAAAGAATGAGTTGTTTCTCTTACCATGGTGGAATTTTAGGGTTTTTTTTGACTTGCATAGTTGTGTATTTGGCTTGGATTTGGAGACTTGAATTATACCTGTCCCCCAAAAAACTATACCTAGGGCTCTAGTAAAATCGTTGTGATCTTAAGGTCCCGTTTGTTTATAGAGTTAGAGGATGGGATTGAGACTAGTAGTGAGGTGAGATTCAAAAAATTGTGTTTGCTTTGGAAAGTAGCCATGGGATTAATAGTTTCATGAAACTATGAAAGGCCTTGGATGAGGAGACTAGTAGTGGCTTAGGGGGGTGTATTCAAGAATGAATTTCTTGGGACTGTGGGTTAATTGCCTATTTTACTCGTGTCTATTGCTAAATTTGTTATAACACTTGGAATGAGGCTTATAATATGGCTCATGTAATATTAAATACAAATAATTGACTAAAATTTTATAGATAGTTGGATTCTTTAATATTGTAAAAAAAAAAAAAGGAAAAAAGAATAACATTGGTAAAAGAATTTTGATAGTTGGATTCTTTAATATTTAAAAAAAAAAAAGAAAAAAGAAGAAGAAGAATAACATTGAGTAAAAATTTATTTATTTTTTAGTTGGTATAAGCCTAAATTTGATAATAATGGAAAGGGTATTTGTGAAATTTTACATGATTAATCTGACTCTTATATCTCAAAACAAATATGAACTATTACTAATCCACTGGTTATCAAACAAACACAATTTTTCTTAATCTTTTTCACTACCAGTATCTTCAGTAACAATTTTTTTCATTTTATCCTTGAAAACAAACGGACCATAATAGTGTAGAGTTCCCAAACTTTGATATGGGCTTTGGGAAATATTTTGAGCTACAAAGGACCTTACGGTGGGGGATGTTGCATTATTAGCCTTACCTAGTTTGGTACTGGCATGAAAGCAGTTTTTCGGCTTTACAAAAAAGGTTGGGTTTTTTTTTAAGTTTAAATTTGAGCTTGAAAGAATTTGAGGCTGTCATATAGTTTCTGTTTCGATAATTTAAATTAATCATGTTGTAAAGTCTTAGTGTATATCATATATAAAAAAATTAAATAAATTTGATAATTATAATTATTTTATTTTATTTTATCGTAATTGATTCTGAAAAAATAAATGACTAATATGTTTTGAAAATAGATTTTCTTTGCTATAAATCTTTCAAGTCTCAAAGATCACAAGGATGGTCTTTAGTCTAGCATATAGTACCTCAGATCAATTGAGTACTTATTGACGTATGTGGCTTCTTCACCAATCGGTCAAATGAAAATTGGAAAATTGGAGGGCCTTTAACATCGTCTTGAGCTTAAGTGCAAAAGAATAGTTTGAGACAAAAGTGCAACGTGGATCAACTACGGTACAATTTATAAGAAGCAAATAAAAATATTTATAATTCTAATACACTTTATATATGTATTTAACTTTTATAAATTTTAACACATTTTTTTATAAATATATATTTATATATTTTTTTACATGAATATTAAGATTAATGACAATTCTTAACATTTTTAGCATTTTTCAAAAGGCCATATCTAAATTTGAATTCAAGAAATCAATCTTACGATCCACTTAAGAGCTTTTCGTTGGTAGGGGATTCATCAAATCGTACTCTCTTACAAAAATGTAAAGAGACACTGAGAACAGGAAGCAGTTATTTAATGATGTCGAGGCATATTTAGGTGTTATAATTGATGTAAAGAGTGAAAAAAAATATGTAACGTAATGGTGACACAGTGTAGGATCGTGTCATCGGCCAATAGAAAAAATTCAATTGATTTCACAACTTTGTATTGAAAATAAGCGAAGAATAGGAGAGCTTGACATTTGGTTTTGGTGTTGGACCGAGATATATGGCATTGCTAATCACATAATAATGAAAAATGTTAGAAACCTCAAATTTTTTAATAAATATTTAATCAAATATTTTATATAAATGTAGATTTTATGTGGGACTTACGTCATATGAGACATTTGTTAAATTTTTTAATATTTCTAACATTACTCCATAATAATTTCGGTAAGACAGAGTCGTATGATAGTGTGGACCCCACCTTTGATCTCTATTTATTTTTGGAAAAATAACGATTCAATGGGTGGCTGAAGTTTACAAACTTTAATTATTAAAGTTATAAACTTTTCCATGAATATGTAATTACTTTTTAAATCGAAACCTTATTTGTTATGTTTTCTTTATTTTTGGATATTCAGATTGAATTTATTTATTAATAAATTTTATTTTAATTTTTAGTGATTAATGTAATTGCCATAAAAATATTTTTAAAAGAAATAAAATTTAATTATTTATATTTTGTACATCATATTTTAATACAAATAAATTAAAATATATCAAAACTCAAATAAAACTAAAAATATCTTAATAATTTATTATTTTGATAAATATCTCAATATTATTATCAGTACTAACTAATCATTTAACAAAAATACAAAAAATAAATTAAAAAAATGAGTTTTTTTTTAAGGTCCCTGGTATTAAGATTTTATAGTATAAAGGACACCAAATATTTTCATAATGTCTAAGGTCCCTCAATTTGATTCAGAGAAATTTCATCCAGAGAAATTCTGGACTTCCCAAAGAATTTCTCTGAGTTCAACCCAGAGAAAATTCAAATTTCTCTGGATCACAATATTATTTTATGAAATCATTTTGACCAATTTTCTCTGGATTCAAATTCAAATATTGTGGATCTATTTCATTATCAAAAATATGAGAGGAACCTTAGACCAATTTCTCCGGGTTCAAATTCAAATTCTTCCTCTAGATAAATTCTTTGATAGCCTTCATTATCATCTTCTTTCTACATCAAATAAGTAGCTGTAGTAGCACCATGAAAGCTATATAAACAAGAGCACTTTGATAGCATCAACACAAATACACAACATGACAAATGATTAATTGGAGGTAGCATGAGGCAATGACAAAGCTTCCAGAGAAATTTGAACAACCCAGAGACCTACCAGAGAAATTTAAACAAACCAAAGACCTACCAGAGAAATTTGAACAACCTAGAGACCTATCAGAGAAATTTGAACAATCAGATAAATTTGAAAAAACACCCAAATTTCTAATCGTCACAGAAAATTCAGTTTTAGTATATCCAATGGTATAAGCATGGTCATTGGCTCCAATTTTGCCAACCCAGAAGAGAGCATCATTGATTGTTGCATTGCATTGGGTGGTTATGGTAGTTGCTGTGGGGCCTCCTCCTCCTCCTCTACACCCCTGAGACTCCAAGAAGTTGTTGAACCAAGTGTGCTGGGTTTGAAGGGACTGAGGAGTGATGTTGAGTGTAAGGTTGTTCTTCACAAACAAACTGTGTATTATTGCAGTAAAACCAACAACAACAAAGTTGACACCCATTGATGATGGCTTTTGGTTGCTATTAATAAGATGGAGGTAAGCAGGCAAGTATGAGAGGGATAGGGATTGCGCTACGAAGTTGATGACGAGGCGGCCATCGGAGTAGCGGTTGGTGGAGTGGTGGAAGTATGTGCGGCCGTAAGGGAGGTTCGATACATAGTTGAAGCCACTTAGGCCGCTGGTGGAGCATGTGTTACCTGTGTCGGTATACGAGCCTCCGAACGTGTACATCTTCTTCAAGGGGCCTGCATGTGGTTGTGGTTGTGGTTGAAAGGTAGCAGCAGAGGAGAGGATGAGAGACAAAGAGTCAAATTTCTCTAATATATGTTTAGGGACCTTAGACATCAAAAAATAATTTTGTGGATCTCTTCCATTACTAAAAATGGAAGAGGGACCTTAGACTAATTTTTCCTAAAAAAAATTTAGAAAGAATTACCAAAAAAAACTCATAGTTTAACTCTTATAACAAAATAAATTTTTAATTTTGTCAATTTAAAACCTAATCTTTTAATTTGTTTTCAATCTAAACTATTTGTCTATTTTTGTTTAGTAAAATAGAAAGAACAAAAAATATTTTAATCATTAAATTCAATGTATGTGTACATAAAATATCTAAAATATCATTTTTTTAGCCAATTTTACTTAAGAAAAATAGACAAATAGTTTAAATTGAAAACAAATCAAAAGATTAGGATTTAGGTTGACAAAGTTAAAAATTCATGATTTATTTTGTTATAAGAGTCAAATTCTAAATTATTTTAATAATTTTTTCAAACAAATTTTAAAAAATTTCATTATCAGAATAAGATAAATACATACCAATTTGGGAAAATTACCAATAGGTCCTACTTTTGAGACTTATTACCCATTAAGTCCTATTGATAAATTTATCAGTCTCTTATTTTTATGAATAAATTTATAGTGATAAATTTATCAGTCTCTTGTTTATATAGTGATATAGTTATCAGTTAGGACCTGTAGGTAAATAAATTTAGTTAATATGACCGATTGGTAAGTGCCCCTTTTATAAGGGGCATTTATTCATAAACTTTTCTTTACCTACTTATGTTCCATTTATTCTAAATTATTTTTTTATGTTTCAATAAGTTCTATGGATGACATAGTTACTAAAATACCCCTAATAATAATATTCATATTGATAGTATAAATATTTCGTAATGTGAACATTACATTGTCAAACATGAATATTCACATGATCAAATTGCTAAGCGTTTAAAAAATGTTTATAGGAGAAATTGTTCATAAAATATTTTAAATATAATAACTAAGGCGCTCAGGCCAAAAGTCCAATTTTGAATTTTTATTGCTCAAAGATACACGCTCAGAGTTACTTTGTCCATAAGGACATTCTTTTGCACAATGACCAAACTACCCTCCATATATATACTTTGTTTCCATATCAAAACCTTAGTCAGTCTTAAACTAGCGTATCTCTTTCTCTATCTCTCTAGAGTCTCTTTTCCTCTCCCTTTTCGCAATGCCTCTTCACTCACTCTCCATTACTCCACTATCGCATCCACCACACCACTATTCTTGGCTGCAACCAACCTAGACACCACCTGCTGGTCCATGCCGCCTCTGGCATCGTAGCGACCATCGCCAGTGTCACAACCCAAACCCACTCCCATAGGTTTAGCATCATAACTAGTCAGTAATTCTCGGATTACCGAAGGCCTCTGACCTAAATAACAAATATAAGGGGGTAGTGGAAGCAAATATAGAAATATACATAGTTCATAAAGCTGTATAGACATACATGGGACAAAAATTTAAAACTACTATTCATTAACCCACATATGTAGTCATTTACATACCCGTTCCACATTGTCATGATACCCAAAATAAGACAAAAGAACTGTCTACAAAACAACAATAGTCTTGATCTTCAAAAAAGGTTTGCAAAACTCGACCATTGTACTCTTTTTGGAACCTCCTCGGGAGGCACAAAGGTTGGCTGACAAGACAGACTCCAGGCAATCAACAGGGTGCCTGGTCATGAGCCTGGTTACCTACATACATAAATAATATAGTGAGCTGAAACCCAGTGAATAATAACAGAGTAAAGATTTTAAAGAATGATATCTTTAACGGATTTAGATTCTAATTCTCTTATCGAATAGAGGCATAAGCATATTCGCACAAGAAACAGAGTCATAATCATATTCATTTTCAAATTATGTATAGTACATCCATTAGCATTAACATATTTCTTTGGTCAAGTATATCAAGTTCCATAATGGAACATCCATGTTAGACTTGTTTATTTTGATGATTTATTTAATTATATTTTAATTTATTTAAAAGAGAAAAATATAATCCAAAATTTATTTTTATTTAATTATATTTTAATTTATTTGAAAAAGAAAAATAGAATCAAAATTTATTTTGATGATTTATTTAATTATATTTTAATTTATTTAAATTTATTTTGTCCCATTATTTCTCACCTAAACCTTTATCCTAAATGTTGTTAGAACGTATTTAATATTTGATTAAATCAGGAGTTCAAACAGCTCAAAACAAAGGTTCAAACAGCCCAGCACAGCAGCAGACCAAAAGGTTCAAGTGAAAGATATTCAAATTTGTAATGATGTAGTGGAAGATATTCAAATTGGTAATGATGGAAGTACAACGGCTATAAATTCAAATAAATACAACGGTTATAAACGGCTATAATTTTCATTATATATACCAAAGTCTCTAATGTAAACAATTTACAAAAAAAACCTGAAAATATTCTTTGATCTATAATCACTCACATCTATTCTCAAAAATTATACACCGAGCCTTATAGCTTTAAGCCCATCTTTCCTGTGTGAGATTTACAGAAAAATCAAAACTTCATTTTATATATCTATCTTTGAGAGATATTTATTATAAGCTTTCTTTGAAAGTAAAAATACCATTTCATCTCGTAAAAGTGTTGCAAACACTGTGTTTTTTAAATCTTGAAAGTGATTGTGAATCACCTAAGATTAACAAGGGTTTGGGCTTGTGAAGTCTGTGTAAAATCCGTGGGGGATTGCTCCATTTGTAAAGAGGTTGCTAGCACTCCTGTGAAGCTAGAAGATAGTGGAAAATCTCAAGTGAAGCTTGAGGAGTGGACGTAGGCCGAGTTAAAGCCGAACCACTATAAATTTGTTTGCCTCTCTCTCCCTTATCTCTTTATTTTATTTTAAATTGTCATAACTATATTTCACATTTTTACTGAGCTAAAATCATTAAGTGACATAGTTGTTAAGACACTTGTTTTAATTATTTTTATTTCATTAATTATATTTATCTATTGTGCTAGTCATAATTTTTATTGGGGTATTATTAATTTTAATTTGTAGAAACCTAATTTACCCCTCCTCTTAGGTTGCTTTTTGGGTAACACTCCAGTATTGGATAACATATCTCATATGTGGGCTACGATATTGTTTCTCTCGGGCAAGGGCCTATGACCATAAGCCACAGTATTATGTCCCCTGGGCAAGGGCCTTGGCTAAGGATACCATAATTACATTTCAAAAAAAATTGGACAATCATTCATTCGTACAAAATATAGCATTTCAAAAAAATGATTATTTCATTTCATCAGAAAATAATTAAAATCAAACATAACTTTACAGAATTATTACTCACAGATAGTTTCACAGATAGCTTTGATAGCAAATCAATGGACCAACAACTCATGGCACGTGACCTATACAAACATAACAAATACACATATTGAAACACACGCTTAGATCGCACGTAACTTATTTCATTTCGTTTTTACTGTGTTTCTAGCCCTTATCCTCATTATTATGTCTTAATGATGGCCTAGGAAAGCCTAGGATGCAATGAGAATGCCAAAACATGTTGTTTAACACTTAGCCAAATTTGTTGAAAACTGGGTCCTCGCTCGAGCGTAGCTTTCTTTGCTCGAGCGGACGGTCAAAACAAAGGTGGTCGCTCGAGCGTAACTTCAGTCGCTCAAGCGGTCTGTAAACTCTGCAAAAGTACTGATTGCTTGATTTTTTCGCACGACACACGCTCGACGGTCACTCTAGCGTAAGACTGAGGTCTTCGCTCGAGCGCAACTCTTGTCGCTTAAGCGGTCTGCAAAATGTGTAAACTTCTGGGAGTATGCATTTTATGCTCGAGCCAACTTTTGGTCGCTCGAGCGAAAGTGAAAAACAAAGAGTGGTCGCTCGAGCCTAGGTTTTGTCACTCAAGCGGTGAGGCAGAATTTTGGAATTTCCAGATTTGTTTCCAAGCTCAAAACTCAAACTCAAAGTTGCAAATCAAGTTCTTTTCGGCCAAAAGCTTGAGGAAATATTTGTAAACTTATAAAACATTGGGAATTAAAGATCATTTTGCAAAATCAAGGTCCAAAAGCTTGCCAATTGTGCAAAATAAAGCTTAAATCTTTGAATACATGACATGCATGCATTTACTTGACTTCAAAGCTTCCAAAACATAATTAATTGATATAAAATGGCTTCAAATAAGATGAATTCTCAAAATAAAGGTAAAATGGACACATGCATGATGGAATTCTTTGAAATCAAACTCAAATTGTGATGAGATGGACATACATGCATGGTATGATCTATATTCCTTCACTCTAGCTTAATTCTCATATTAATCCATTCAATTCTCTTGAATTCGTGAATCCACCAACTCAAAAGCAAAACTAAAGGCTTGAATTCTTACCTTAGCTTCTCAATTGTACTGTAGATAGTCAAATGTTTGAAGTTCCAATCCAAAACCTCCAAGTTCTCTCTCTCTCTCTCCCCCTCCCTCTTTCAATTCTCCTAATTAAGCTCAAACTCTTATTCTTTCTCTCTCCCACGTTTTTTATGGTAAGAGATGATAAAGTGTGTGTATAGTGGTAGTATGAGGCAACTCATGGCTTATATAGGTACCATTAGTGAAATGAATTAAACCTTGTTTAGATTAAACAATTATACTTATTTTATTCTAATTATTTGGTTCTGAATCAAATTTAAATTGAACCTACCATAAATTCCCCAAAATTCCAAATAACACATTTACCAAGTCAATTTTGTGATCGAATGTCGATAAGGCCTTCAATTTGCAAAACAAAACAGAAACACAAACAGATATTTCTACGATAGATAGATATAAACACAAATAATGCAACATACATGCAATTAATTCAGAATTTTACCTTAATTACTTATTAGAAATTCATAATCATATGTTTTAAGCTAATCACG